CGCAGAAACCCGGCCCACCGCTCTCGGGGCGAAGGGGCGCCGGGCAGCACCCGGAAACCTCCCCGGAGCGTCAAGCCGGTCGCCCAGCGCGAAGTCACCCCCAAGAGAAGGCCGCTATGACCCCCGACCCCGAAGGCCCCGAGTCGGCCGCGCGCCGCCGGCCGGGCGGAGGGGACGCCGGGCCCGGGCCCCGGGGACCAGGGCAGCCTCACCTGCAGGTGAACTTGAGGGCCAGGAGCACCGCGCAGCCGAGGGCTACGGCCCCGCAGAGCAGCTCGGGCCGCCGGCGCGCCATGAGGGAGGCGCCGCGCAACCCGCGGCGGAGCCGGCCCGCCGAGGACGCCCCAGCCGGGGCCGGGCTGAGGGAGCCAGAGCCCGCGGGGCCGCCGCCACCCTCGTCCTCGGCGTCGTCGCTGCTGCTGCTGCCGCCGCCGCGGCCTCCGCATTCCGACATTACATGCTCCCCGTCGCCGGCTTTATACCGCCGCCGCCGCCGCCTCGGGCCCGAGGGCCCGGCCCGGCCCGTCGCTCCCCAATCCCGCAGCTGGCAGCGCCCGCTAACCCGGACCCTCCACGTCAGCCGTGCCGCCGCCCGGGCGCCGCCCCCTCGCACGTGGCTCCGCCCCCTGCTCCTAGGACTCCGCGCGGCTTCGGGCTCGTACGGCGGCCACGCCCCTGCACGCATAGCCCGCGCAGACGCCTACAGCGCCAGTGGCCGGGCCTCCGTCCCAGAGGTCCCGCCCCCCATCCTCCGAGTCTGCGCAGAAACCTTCATCGCCGGGGCTCCGCCCCCTACTTTTGGAGTCTGCGCATGCGCAGTGGCAGAGCGCCGCGGTACTGCTACGGAGGCTCACGCTTGGGGCACACGGAAGGTTATGGGTCCTCCCGGAGAACCCGCCAGCCCTCTGGGTTTTATGGACGTGACGATAACAGCCAAGCGTCCTCACGCTCACTACAGGCCCCAGAGGACGTAGGTGCTATTGATTACTCCCGCTCTGCGGGAGGGAATAAAACACCTGCCATTCCCTGTGTGTCCGTGTGTAGATGGGGTGCCAGCAGGGTCGGTCGGGGATTGCAGCGCCTGGTCTCGGTCCCTGTGGCCTCGCAGCGGCAGCGACTGCAGGTCAGCGCTGTGCACCCCGACACGCAGCCCTGTGAGGGGGCGTGGAAGAGCCGCGCAGCCCAGCCCACGGGGTCGCTTCCCGCTCTTTAGCAAATACAGGAGCTTAGCCAAGCGCCGGAGGCCCGGAACCAATGACGAGCAGGTAGATTTTTTAAGATTTTATTTATTTGAGAGGTGGGGTTGCAGACAGCGGGAGAGAGGTCTTCCATCAGCTGGTTCACTCCCCAGATGGCCGCTAGAGCCAGAGCTGGGCCCCTCCGAAGCCAGGAGCTAACCCCCGAGACTCCCACGCGGGTGCAGGGGCCCGGGCAATTGTCGGCCATCTGCCCCTGCCCTCCCAGGCCATAAGCAGAGAGCTGGATCAGAAGAGGAACAGCCGGGACCCGAACTGCCGGCCGTACGGGATGCGGGCGCCGCAGGCAGAGGCCCAGCCCGTCACCCCAGAGCGCGGATGCCAGCAGGCAGAGTCCTCTCCGGGTGCGGTGATTGAAAAGGCGGCGCGGTCGGCGGTGGACAGGGAGGAAGGGGGGGGGGGGGGGCCTCGGATCCACAGGTGGCCTCTGATGCGATCAGGAGTGTCTGCTGGGGTTCCCCACCCAGTCCTTTAGCGGTCACGCCCAGGCAATAGAACTGGAAAGGGCAGGTCGAGCGTCCAGAGAGCTGCACACGTGGAGGTTCCCGACTGGGAGGGGTCCAGAGGCTCGGCCTGTGCATGGTTTCCTCTGCTCTCTGCAGCATGCTCTATAACAAGCCAATAAAACAACGCCTCGTGGCAAATCAAACGCAAGGAAGAGGCTGTGAGGATCCTGATTCCTAGCTGGTCAGCCAAAAGCGCCAAGCACTTCCACCTTCAGAAGTGGAGAGGGCTGGCCCCGGCTCTAACCCTGACTGCAGGTGGACAGTGTTGAGGGCTGGCCCCAGCTCTAACCCTGACTGCAGGTGGACAGTGTTGAGGGCTGGCCCCGGCTCTAACCCTGACTGCAGGTGGACAGTGTTGAGGGCTGGCCCGGGCTCTAACCCTGACTGCAGGTGCACAGTGTTGAGGGCTGGCCCCGGCTCTAACCCTGACTGCAGGTGGACAGTGTTGAGGGCTAGCCCGGGCTCTAACCCTGACTGCAGGTGCACAGTGTTGGTGTTGAGCTGAATTAGACAACACCCCTCTGGTGTGCACTGCTGTGGAACTGCTTGTCTGGTGGGCTCAGAAGTGATCCAAGTTGTAGGAGAAACTAACAGGTGTCAGGCAAGTAAGACTTTGAGGGAACTAAGGTTAAGCCACCACCAGGGATGTCAGTTCAAGCCCTGGCTGCTCCACTCCCATCCAGCTCCCTGCTGATCTGCTTGGAAAGCAGCGGGAGACGGCCTCTGCACCCATGTGGAATATCCAGTGAAGTTCCAGGCTCCTGGTTTCAGCCTGGACCAGCCCTGGGCATTGCAGTCGTTTGGGCTGTGGACCAGCAGATGGAAGCTTGGTGTCTCTCTTTCATCTCCCTCTCTGTCACCCTTTCAAAATAAATCATTTTTTAATGGGGCAGGCATTGTGCACATCATTCATGATAAGCCACCACTTGGGATATCCACAGCCCACATCAGAGTGGATTCCAGTCCCACCCCACCTTCCAATCTAGCTCTCTACTAATGTGTGCTATAGGATGCAGGAGACATGGCTCGTGGGAAACTCAGTCATAATTCCTAGCTCCAGCCTCTTCCTGGCCCAGGCCCAACTGTTATAGACATTTGGCATTTGGGGGGGGGGGGGGGTTACCAGCAGATGGAAAATATCTGTCACTGTGCTTTTCCAATCAATAAACAACTTTAAAAGCATGGCCCAGAGAAGTTAGACTCCCTCCTCTGCCATGGGTCAAGTATGTGACCCTAAAGCAAATCCCTTCACTCCTTGTCCAGCTCTTGGTTTGCATGGAGGTAAAATGGTGCTATCAGTGGCCATCTTTCTAGGTGTGCCAGATGTCCGGTATGTCAACCCCACGGGCCCAACGTGTTGGTAGCTCCCTCTTAGCTGTCAGTTTGCTGTTTTTCTGGCTCCCATCTTCTGGGTTCCTTCTTCATTCTTTGTGTTAGTAGATAGTTTTTTAGTATAGTATTAATTCCTTTTTTTTTTTTTTTTTTAAGATTTATTTATTTGAAAGACAAAGGGCCGGCGAGCGGCTCACTAGGCTAATCCTCCACCTACGGCGCCGGCACCCCAGGTTCTAGTCCCGGTCGGGGCGCCGGATTCTGTCCTGGTTGCCCCTCTTCCAGGCCAGCTCTCTGCTGTGGCCAGGGAGTGCAGTGGAGGATGGCCCAAGTACTTGGGCCCTGCACCCCATGGGAGATCAGGAGAAGCACCTGGCTCCTGCCATCGGATCAGCACGGTGCGCCGGCTGCAGTGCACCAGCCACAGCGGCCATTGGAGGGTGAACCAAAGGCAAAGGAAGACCTTTCTCTCTGTCTCTCTCTCTGTCCACTCTGCCTGTCGCATAAAAAAAAAAAAAAAAGAAAAAAAGGAAGGAGAGACCGAGTTACAGAGAGAGAAGGAGAGGCAGGCAGAGACAGAGAGAGGTCTTCCATCTGCTGGTTCACTCCCTAATTGGCTGCAATGGCTGGCGCTTCCTCCTCATCTCCCATGCAGGTGCAGAGGCCCAAGGACTTGGGCCACCTTCTACTGCTTTCCTGGGCCATAGCAGGGAGCTGGATCAAAAGTACAGCAGCCAGGGCTCGAACCAGCACCCATACGGATGCCAGCGCTGCAGGCGGCGGCTTTCCCCACTATGCCACAGCGCCAGCCCCTATTAATTCCTTATTATTTGGGTCATCACCACAGCCTTCTAGGGTGTGTTCGACATCAATTTTCCCTGGAAAAAGAGGGGGAAAGGAGTTGGTGGGAAAGTATAGAGAAGAGAAAATCTAAGGAAGGTGCTCAGAATAGGAGTCTGAGCACAGTCAGAATTCTATGCTGTTCTGTAGCAAACGCCCAGCCAATACAGGTCAGGTATCTGGCACGCTAAGATGCTCCTGATGCCCGTCTCCTGCCTCTGGGTCTGCGGACCTGCGTGGGCTCCTCTGGCGTCTCACTTCCTGCAGCCATGCTCCCCTCCCTCCCCCGCTCACAGCACAGAACCGAGACCCTCTCCTGTGCTGTCCCACAGTCACACTCCTTCCAGGACATAACGAGGAAGGCCTGCCCCTGCGAGACTGACGGGCTGCAGCCTCTCAGCCCCCTGGTTCTTGTCCTTAGTCCCTCCCTCAGATGGCCCGCCCCGCCCCAACAAGGAGCAGGCACTAGCAGTGGGCTGATGAGGTAGCGCCGGCACCACCTGCCACTCTTCCTGGCTTGCTGGTGCCACCCTCGGAAGGCTGAAGGGCACAGAGACAGCTGTGCCACTTCTTAGGCTCTGCCGGCCCATCCTTGAGCACTTGGTTGGAGGTTCTAGCCAGGGAGTGCGGCTACTGTTGACTGAACACCAGAACTCCTCTAACGGGGAAGGCCATCCTCTTTCACCAAAGGGACACACATGGAGCAGGGAGGGAGGGAGGGGACACCCGCCCAGCCAGCCAGATCAGCCGAATCAGCCCTGGCGATCCGTGGGGTGACGGATGTCGCAGCCAGATCGTCCTCACGTCCGTGCCAGCCCATCCTGACCACACCTGCAGAGAGCCGTCTCTCTGGGACCCACGGCCTCCGTTCTCCCCTGTCAGCCGTCTCTCAGTGACACCGGAAGTACGACCCTGCCAAGCACAGGAGAGGCTCTGAAGCTGCTTTCCCGTCCTGCCGATTTGCATTCCATCACGCATCACGTACCTGTTCCTAGAACCCGACTTGCGATTTTAGAACCCACAGTTTGAACAATTCTGTGGGAAAATGATATCAAAAAGTCAGAGATTTATATATAAAATCTTTATTACAGGCAGTATTGGTCCATACACTACACAATACCAACAGTACAAGTTTAATCATTGAAATCATTTAAACAGCAAAAGACCAAGAAATAAAATTTGAGTCAACTGATTTTTTTCAAAATATTCTCAATGCACATTATCCTCAGTTCCCTTATTATAGTGAAACATACAAATACAGAAAAATACCCCATTTAACAGGTACTGGTGTTAAATGGTTATTTGGCTTAAAATCTGAGTTAAGAAAATCCTTTTTTAAGCAACCTACGTACAGATAAGTAGCAAACATTATTAAATACGTTCGTTCTGCTAAGTGAAGAAATTTCATCCCGCATGTACTCTGATCCCGGTCCAAGTGTGTATTCTCTTAGCATCACGGTTCTGCACTGAAGGACCAACGCAGAGAGTCGCCCCAGACATACCCTCACCTCCTCTCCAACTCCTCCTCCCACACTCCATTCAACAGACGGCAGCCGGGGAGCAGTCACCTCGCCATTTGATGCCAATGGTTCCGTGAGAGCTGGGCCAGACCCGTTAAACAGCCCGTTTTCCTACCTACTGTGGGTTGCTGCTCAGGATATGTGCCAATTCAAGCAGAAAGTCTGAGCCCCTCTGCTACGTGCCTTACAACACTTGCAATTTCTCTGGTCAATGCTCTGATTAGGTTACATACATAGAAGCCAGCATATTAGTTTAAATCTTTAAACAAAAAACTATATTTTCCAAAGTCATTATCATTTGGGGCAATTAAGTGATCTTTTCGTGCTTTGCTGAGCTTCATCTTTAGGACATTTCTTCTTTCTTCCCATTCATGAAGTTCAGCGTTTCCATGTGCAAATTTACAGCTGTTTCCTTCTGTGCAGCTACCATTCATATACCTGTCAGGACAGGGCAGCTGGTGAGCGTCCATCAGTTGTTTCTAAAACTCCGGACATGGTTCTTTTATTTATCTAAGATTTATGTATTTACTTATTTGTCTGTATCTATTTGAAAGGCAGAACAACAGAGAGAAAGAACTCTCCCACATGCTGATTCATTCCCCCAACTCCTACAACAGCCAGGTCTGGGCAGGCCAAAGTCAGGAGCCAGGAACTCCGTCCTGGTCTCCCACAGGGATAGCAGGGGCCCAAGTTCTTGGGCAGCATCTTCCGCCTTCTGAGGTGCAGGAGCAGGAAGGTTCACGGAAGCAGAGCAGCTGGGACTCGAACCAGGAAATGGGAAGCCAGCTGGCAAGAGGCAGCTGGAGCTGCTGTCCTACAAAGCGGACTCTCCTGGCACGATCCCGGGAAGGTCCTACTTCACTAGCTCTAGGACTTGCGTATCCCACATGCAAAGCCTTGGAAAATATTTTACACCCATGACATCCGCAACAGAAAAAATCGTACTTTTAAACTATTTAAATGTATTAATGAAAGGTGCTGACTGAGAGCAGGTGTGTGGCCTGGCAGTTAACCTGCCACATCAGGAGTGCCTGGGTTCAAGTCCCAGCTCTGCTCCTGAGTCCATCTTGCTGCCAACACACACACCCTGTGAGGCAGCAGGTGATGGCCCAAGCAGCTGGGCTCCTACCACCCAAGGGAGACGTGGCTTTGGCCTGGCCCAGCCACAGCAGGTATTTGGGGAGTGCAGCCTCACTTGTACTTCTCCATCTCCTGACATAATGTCTGCAGAAGCCCTAAAAGAGCAGCAATTTTCAGGTGGATAAAGTGGAAAAACCTACGTACCTCTCACAAATACTAAAATATCCCGTTGGAAAACGGTGCTGCCAGCAGTACTGGTCGTCCTCGGTGTGGAACACCTTCTCCTTGTGCTTCTCCGAGGAGATGTGGCCTTGCCACTGCTTCTCACTGTTGCAGTTCTTCCCACACATCCAGCAGTGGAAGTCCACCTGGGAGCACAGAGACACGGAGCCTGTCCCCATCAGGGCATCCACTGTGAAGCCCAAACCCCCTTCCCATGCAGCCCAGTCCCGTGGGGGAGGTGAGCAAGGAGCAGAGCCCGGCCAGCAGTCAGGAAGCAGAGGGACAAGCCCTGTCCGGCGTCCAGGATGTCTGCAGCAGGGAGGCCCCAGGAGCTGGTGTGCAAACACGGATGTGTGCTGGGAGGACAAGGGGCGAACTCAAACAGGGATTGTGGGCAGAATTCACACCCTAAGGAAAGGCAGAGAGAGCTGGAACGGCCAGCCAGGCATGCCAACCCCAGGGGGCCTAGGGGCCAGTCCACTCGATGCCTGTGAACGAGCCCCTGAGTGTGGGCCAGGCTGTGCTGGGGACCAGGAAGCAAAGATGCCGCCCCGTGAAGGACAGGCCCACACAAAGGAGCTGTGCCGTGGTGGGATTCAATGCTACAGCAGAGGCTAGCTCCTGAGTGTGGGAGCAGTACTTTCCCAACGTCCTGGGTGAGAAGTGCATCTTCCATGCAACACGGAATAAAACCAGACTCCCACTAAGTCAGGGGTCTTAGTGAAGAATCTATCTTGTCTAGCACCCCAGGTAACCTCCCGATCCAGCAAGTCCTGCTCTGGGAACACGCAGGAGCACTTAAGTACAGGCCACAGAGGAGCTGGCTGGTGCCAAGCCCTGGCAGAGGTGGGTACTCACATATGTGCCCGGCCGAGGGCACCGGACCCAGTCCTGACAGAACCAAAATGGAGACAGGCCAAAAACACTACAGAGAAACAAGCAGCTTAGGGAAACGTTTACAAAACACACCGGCAGACAAGAGACTGTTCAGGAAGAAATGTGACGTCAATATGCGAACACAGGCGAATACACACCAGGTCTGGGGCCTCTGGGCAGGGGAAGAAACAGAGCCCACACTCTGCCTGAAACGTCCTATCCACCTTACAGAAGCAAACACGACAAACCATTAACATCAGTTCAGTGGCGATGGGGGGCTCAAGACAGTCACCGTAGCATCCTCTTTGATTTCTTGAAATGTTTAAAAACAAAAGCAGAGGAGTGATGGACACCAGTGACTCCACGTCTGCACAGATGCTTGGAGGAGCGTGCGGGGGCGTGAACGGCCCCGTCTCCTGAGCGCCTGCAGAGGCAGCACAGCAGTGACAAACCCTCCGGACTTTGCCATCATGACCTGCCCAGGGTCCCAGGCTCGGAGGACAGGAACCAGGACTTGGCACTCACACATCTCTGGCTCCAAAGTTAGAGAAAGGAAGTGTTTTGGCGTGAAGACACTTTAGCTAACAGCAGAAAACCACAGAGGAGAGGGATACAGACCCCCAACACAGCTCGCCACGCTGGGCAGGAGGGAGGAAGGGGCTCAGAGACAAGCTGCCGTGCAGGCCCCGGGGTACTCACGGTGACTTCCGCATAGTCTGTGGGCATGTGAATTTGTTTTCCATTTTCCTTGTTGGACTGACTGGCTACATCATCACTTTTTTCATTTTTCTGACTCTTCAGCCACAGTTCATAAAACTGCTCCATATCTTGTACTAAAGAAAAATGAATTGCTTTTAGCAGCAACAGTAAGTGCGATTTAAATACACACGTCATGCACATATTTTGTATTAGCAAATGTTTTTAAAAGAAGAGGGGCCAGCGCTGTGGCACAGCAGGGTAAAGCCGCAGCCTGCAGCACCACCATCCCATATGGTTTGAGTCCTAGCTGCTACACTTGAAATCCAGCTCCCTGCTAATGTGCCTGGGAAAGCAGCAGAAGATGGCCCAAGTATTTGGGTGCCTGCACAAACGTGGCAGACCTGGGAGAAGCTCCCAGATTCAACCTGGCCCAGCCCCAGCTGTTGCAACCATTTGGGGAGTGAACCAGTAGATGGAAAACTCTCTCTGTCTCTGTCTCTACTTCTGTGTGTAACTCTGCCTTTCAAATAAATAAATTTTTTAAAATGAACAAAGAAAATCCAGAGTGCTGAAGAAGCACCATTATAGTGGACAGGGAGAGGTAGTCTATTGCAGTAGGTCAATTTCAGACTGTCAAAACCACAGATATCAGTTTTCTAGATTAATTAATTCCTCCCTCAATTTGCAAGGGCTATTTCAAATTCAGAAATCATCCTAAGGGATGTGCCCTGTGTCACACACTCCAACTGTGCCAGAACCACGTAAGGCTACAGACAGGACATCAAGGGCCTAAAGCCCTGACACCCTGTCACAGTTCATTAAGAAAGATAACATGGGCCAATGCTGTGGCGTAGTAGGTTAAGCATCCACCTGTAGCACCAAAATGGGTGCCGGTTCAAGTCCTGGCCCTACTTCTGATCCAGCTCTCTGCTGATAGCCTGGGAAGGCTGCAGAAGATGGGCCAACAGCACCATGGCACAATAGGTTAATCCTCTGCCTGTGGCGCCAGCATCCCATATAAGTGTTAGTTCAAGTCCCAGCTTCTCTACTTCCAATCCAGCTCTCTGCTATGGCCTGGGAAAGGAGTAGAAGATGGCCCAAGTGCTTGGGCCTCTGTACCTGCATGGGAGACCCAGAAGTGCCTGGCTCATGGCTTCGGATAGGCACAGCTCCAGCCACTGTGGCCATTTGAGAGCGAACCAGCGGAAAGAAGACCTTTCTGTCTCTCCCTCTGTAACTTTTTTTTTTTTTTTTTTTTTTTTTTTTTTTTTTTTTTTTGGTTGACAGGCAGAGTGGACAGTGAGAGAGAGAGACAGAGACAAAGGTCTTCCTTTTGCCGTTGGTTTACCCTCCAGTGGCCGCCGTGGCTGGCGCGCTGTGGCCGGCGCACCACGCTGATCTGAAGGCAGGAGCCAGGTGCTTCTCCTGGTCTCCCATGGGGTGCAGGGCCCAAGCACTTGGGCCATCCTCCACTGCACTCCCTGGCCACAGCAGAGAGCTGGCCTGGAAGAGAATCCACCACGACAGAATCCGGCGCCCCGACCGGGACTAGAACCCGGTGTGCTGGCGCCGCAAGGCGGAGGATTAGCCTATTGAGCCACGGCGCCGGCCTGTCTGTAACTTAACCTCTCAAATAAAAAAATAAAATCTTTAAAAAAAAAGAAGAAGAAGAAGAAGATGGGCCAAGTGCCTGGGCCCCTGCAGTGATGTAGGAGACCCAGAAGCTCCTGCTCCTGGCTTTGGCCTGGCCCAACCCCGGTCGTTGTGGCCATCAGGGGAGTGAATCAGCAAATGGAAGCTTGCTTTCTCTGGCTCCCTCTCTGTCTCTAACTATGCCTCTGAAGTAAATAAATAAATCTTTAAAAAAAGAAAGCTGAAAAGCATGCTAGTACTGGACCAAGCCTGGCCCCAGTGGCAGTTATCAATCAAGCCACAGTCTCAGAGGACCAACACAATACAGCCGTGACCAGGTGCTGGGAAAACAGGTCTGTCCGCGACTCCGCCACGTGTTACAGCTGGTGCCTCAAGCTCAGCCTCGCCACGCTGACCACCGGGGTCCGTGCCGAGCACTGCAGGGCACCCCGCAGCACCTCTGTGCTCCGCCCACCGGATGCCAGACACAGCACCCACGTCATGACCAGGAACGTCTCCAGGTACTGCCGAAGTCCCAGGGAGAAGGCAGAGCATGTCTGGTGAGAACCACTGTGCCGAAACCTCTGCAAAGGGGGCCCGATTCCTTCAGCTCTGCCGTCTGCACAGGCATTTCTCAGCCATCAGGCTAAGGTGAAAGACAAACGTTCCTCCTCAGACCCTCCAGAGCCCGGACACGCACGCGCAGCTGCAGGAAGCTTCAGGGCCGCAGGTCCCGCCAGGGGACACAGCCAGTGGGAGTCCCTTGTGCACAAGTCACTGCCGGCACGTGGCTGCAGCCTGCAATCCCGTCGGTCCTCAGAATCTGGGGCCTGCAGGTGGTCTACTCCTGCCACTTCACTGCAGGAGAATACTGCCCCATGGAGTGACACGTTTTAGGGTCGTAAGTGAAAGGTTATCTGAGGCTCCTCTCAAAGGCATCTCATGAAGACTGAAATCTGACCAGAATAACCATTCTGTCCTGGGGCCTTTGCATCGGGCCTGTTTTCCCAATGAAGGACTCGCTCAACGGGCACCCCGCCCCAAGCCGCTGAGCTCGGGGGTACTGCTCACTGAAGACGATCTGACTTCAACAGTCCCAGAACGGAACGCATCTACTCCACTCCATCCAAAAGACGCAGACTTCCATTTTCCTGTGCAGACGGGACCTAGCCACACACATATGCATGTCAGATGCACTCCCCTGAGGCTGTGGCCGCACGTTCCGGTCACTGTCAGCAACAGAGCTACTGACGAAAACAGGGTGTGCCTGCTGAAAGTGCACTGTTTTCGGGGCTCACGGGCAGCTGCCATGTCTACAGAGGCAACTTCTAGACAAGCAGGTGCTCACAATGTCAGGAACACAGCAAAAGCCACAACTTACTGCCATTCTCCTTCATGTAGGTCCACACTTCTCGCTCCTCGGGGCTGTGCGCAAAGGAACAGTTCCCAACGTACTGACATTTTCTCCCAGAAGCAATATGGTTGCATAGCTAGATTAAAAAAAAAAGAAAAAAGCCGACATATTTTAAGATAGAGCGTGCTTAGGAAAACTGCCTAATTTTTATACTTAACCAAAGTAAGCATTATCTTCCATACTAATGCTTGGTAGTAAGATGTTCAAATAAGACTAATTTGATTCTATTCAAACTACCTATAAGCCCAAAAGACAGGAAATCACACTGATGGTCAACTGTCTAACTCAAAATTTTTCCAAAGAAATTCAAGTACAGAACTTTTTATTTTTAACAAGAAAATACTGACAAATGTGCTCATTCAGAACATTTACTATCCACAGTGACAAATCTCTGGCCCTCTTGGTTAGGCAGCCCCACTCCCCTTGCCTAAACACTCCTGATGCCGAGGCCGCCCATCAGCACCCAGGAAACAGCCAGGACACTGCTGTGTCCCCCCAAGGTTACCAGAGATTTTCAGAAACTTAGCATACCTCTACCCCGTACGAGTTGCTCGCCTCACCCCTAACCCCTAACTCACTAGGCAGGCACTGTCTGAAGACAGCTATTAAACTAGCCAGCCCAGGGAGTTAGCTAGCTTCCAAATACTATTGCTTCTGATGATCTGTGTTTTCATTTAAAAATACAAAGTAAATACAGTGACTGGTGGAGGACAAAGCAGCAGTGATCAGAACATGACCGTCCCTAAGGATCATGGGGGTCTAGACCAAGAAAAGCCTGTCACCCACAGAGTTCATTTTTAAAGATCAATCGACTTGGCCTTTTAGAGCGTAAATCCTAGGACAACAAATTATTAGCGCATCTTAACTTTATGTTTCAGCCAGGGCTGGCCCTCGACACTACTTGTCTTATGTAACATTACAGGCTTAACATCTAACACTCTAAGAGCAGGAAGCCCTAACGGGGCTTGGACAAAGGCCAGTGGCCCCACCCTGAAAATCTGTGTGAAGTCTGGGTCAACCAGCCAGTCTTGTGACTGCCTTGGTCACAGTCCTTTCTCAGTTGAGCCCCAGTGAGCCCTCAGTTGTTAGAGCTAGGGAAATATTTACCATGGTCTTTCCAAGCTCAGTGACTAGGAGCAGGGAGAAGGGAAGTTTAAGGAGAAGGCTGGGACCTGGGCTGGGTTTTTAGGCACCTGCGCACACAGCTGTCCTGGGGGGGATTATTCCCATCCACAGTAACCTGACGCCGAACAACCTGACCAGGGCCCTCCTGGCAGACTCGGAAGCCTGCTCCCTTTCCACCTCACCACACTGGATGCATGTGTGTACACACACACACTCCCCCTCACCACACTCTGTGTGTACACACACATACACTCCAGCACACTCTGCGTGTACACACACACACTCCCCCTCACCACACTGTGTACACACACACACTCCAGCACACTCTGCGTGTACACACACACACTCCACCTCACCACACTCTGTGTGTACATACTCTACCTCAACACACTGTGTGTACACACTCCCCCTCACCACACTCTGCATGTACATACACTCTACCTCACCACACTGTGTACACACACTCACCCTCACCACACTGTGTGTACACACACACTCCCCCTCACCACACTGTGTGTACATACACACTCCCCCTCACCACACTGTGTGTACACACACACACTCCACCTCACCACTCTGCGTGTACATACTCTACCTCACCACACTCTGTGTAAACACACACACTCCACCTCACCACACTGTGTAAACACACACACACACTCCCCCTCAACACTCTGTGTGTACACAGTCCCCCTCACCACACTCTGTGTGTACACACTCCCCCTCACCACTCTGCGTGTACACAGTCCCCCTCACCACACGCTGCATGTACACACACACACACACTCCCCGTCACCACTCTGCGTGCACACAGTCCCCTCACCACACTCTGCGTGTACGCGCACACACTGTCACCTCTTCTTCTAGGAGAAGAGCCCCTAGCAGCACCTAGCACCGCAGCAGGGAAGGAGGAAGGGGACTACTGTAGTGCGGCAGGGCGGTGCGCCCCGTTCGCGATCGCAGGATAAGCAGCAGCCCTGGCCAGGCAGCTGCTTCAGGAGCCCTCGCACTCCGCCTGTCCCTGCTTCACAAGTCCTCTTCACACACATCATCTCCATTAGCACACCTCCAGCAAGCCTCTCCCCGCCCTTCAGCACCCACGGATCCACCTGCATCTCCAACCACCTGGGATAAACCACAGACACACCACCTCCTCCAAGACTGACCTCACTGTGTGAACACGGCAAAGCGCAGGGCACGCTAGTGAGGAGAAATCCATCTGCCTCTCAATTCTTCCTAACGTCACGGAGGGAGGCTTCACTGTGCGGGGACTCTAGGGTCCCTCAGCCCTGACTTCTGGGGAAAAGTCTGTCTCCACATTTGCTCCATAAGGGCAGAAAGCTGACAGCCTATGGCTGCTCCTGGTGTGCCTGTCCCTGATGCCACACAAGCACCTCCAGACTGGAAGAGGAGGGTCCAGAGGCAACGGGAGCACCAACACAAAATGGGCCACAAGAACACCAGCCCAGCCTCAAGGCGGCTAGGTATCTTCATTCTAAATGATGTTAAGAAACACGCTTCTCGGGGCCGGCACCGTGGCACAGCAGGTTCAAGCCCCAGCCTGCAATGCCGCCATCCCATATGGACACGTTTGAGTTCTGGCTGCTCCTCTCCCAACCCAGCTCCCTGCCAATGTGCCTGGGAAAGCAGCGGAAGATGGCCCAATTCCTGGGGCCCTGCACCCACATGGAAGACCCAGAAGAGTATCTTGGCTCCTGGCTCCAGATTGGCTTAGCTCTGGCTGCTGCAGCCATTGCAGAGTGAACCAGTAGATGGAAGACCTCTCCCTCTGTCTCTACCTCTCTCTCTAACTCTGTCTTTCAAATAAATAAAATAAATAGTTAAAAAAGAAACATGTTTCTCTAACACTGAACATTTTCTTTTGGATTACTTCTAGAAAGCTCCATAAAGTTGAGTATCTTCGCGCTAGTATCACTTGCTTCAACAAGACATGGTGAAAACGAACTCCTTCAGAGCCTTCATACTAACATATCAAACCTGAGGCATCAAAATCATACGTGATTCTCCCTCATGGCCTCCCCAAAGTAATTCATGTGAAAAATGTTAAGCTATGCCCACATTCCAGTCCCTGTTGACTTTTTCCAAATAACTGATAAAATTCCAATCAACATGAAAACTGCTATCGAATCTCTCTCTCTCTCTCTCTCTCTCTCACACACACACACACACACACACACACACACGGAAGGAAAACAAAAGAGGAACACTTAAATGTCACTACACTGAGGAGCATTATGTCAAGGACTTGAGTTCCAAACTGAATTATTACTACTTGCTAATGATTTGAAAGCCTAATTTGAAAAAAGTGGCTTAAAAATTACGTATGTACATCAAACTGTACAGGCATTTGTTTCTTTGTGGGGAGAGGACGGATGTTCCTCCACTTCTTATGTTCAATAGACATCACTCTCATCGCACGGCGATCTTTGGTCCACCTAAGAAAAATGGAGTTCAGAAAAAACAGACACACTGGAAAAAGGCATAATATCAAGGGGTACAAGGTTTGTGCTTGAAGGACCAGAGATTTTGTTTTCCACAACCATTCTTAAAGAAATGCCTTATGGTTCTACAATTCCACTTCCTCTGGGTGGCTGTAAACATTCCCTACAGACTGTAAGTAAAGAATTGATAAAATACAGGGAAAACATGGCTTCTGAATAATCAGATACTAACTCCTAAAAAAATCTCTTCCCTTTTGGAATTATGCCTGAATTAGCTACTTTCCTCAGCTGTCTTCAAAGCCTTAATCTTTCTTCTTTTACGTATGACTGTACACCTATGAAACAGGCAACCACCACTAGCACTGTTTCCATACACACAATACTTACGAATGCCTTGCTTTTGCACTACAATATTTTCTGTTTTTGTCTGGTTCAATGACTTGACCATTTCTCAGACATTGAGCACACACAAATTTTATCTTCATATTGAGAGACCCAGGCATTGCTTGACTGCCAAGTACCTTAAACAATTAAAAAATCAGTCTTAATGGTAATAGAAAACCAGTCTTCTAACAGCAAAATCACCATGCATTTTTTTCATAGCATACAATTTTCTGTTTGTCTGGTTCAATGATCTGATCATTTATTTATGTCTTAAGAGTTATCAATCTCCAGTTCTTCCCTCAGAGGGAAGAATGATGAAGGACAGAATGATGAAAGCTGATTATAGGAGCCAGCGCTGTGGCGTAGTAGGCTAAGCCTCCACCTGGGACTCCAGCTTCCCATATGGGTGCCAGTTTGTGTCCAGGCTGCTCCTCTTCCAACTCTCTGCTATGGCTTGGGAAAGTAGTGGAAGATGGCCCAAGTCCTTGGGCCCCTGCACCCACATGGGAGACCCGGAAGAAGCTCCTGGCTTCAGATCGGCCCAGCTCCCAGACGTTGTGGCCATTTGGAGAGTGAACCAGTGTATGGAAGACCTCCTTCTCTGTCTGCAACTCTGCCTCTCAAATAAATACATAAATATTAAAAAAAAAAAAAAAAGAATTACTTATTGGGGAGGAGGGCATTATGGCACAGCAGGTTCACCCACTTCCCGTAAAGGAGTGGCTGCCTGCAATACAGCTTCCTGTATGAACCCAGGAGGCAGGAATGATATAGCTGAAGTGCTTGGATTCCTATCACCCACGTGGGAGAACCAGATAGGGTCATGGCTCTTCACTTTGGCCTGACCCAAGCTGGCTGTTGCAGACATTTGGGAAGCAGGCCAGCAGATGAAAGATCTGTCTCTGTGCCTTTCAAGTAGATGAAAATAACCATTTTTTAGAAATTACTTAATAGAATAAACATTAAGAAAATAACTGGGGCTGGTGCTGTGGCGCAGGTGCCAGTATCGCATATGGGTGCGATAGTTCTGGCTACTCCTCTTCTGATCCAGCTCTTTGTTATGGCCTGAGAAAGCAGTGGAAGATGGCCCAGGTGGTTGGGCCCTGAACCTGAGTGGGAAACCTGGAAGAAGTCCTGGCTCCTGGCTTTGGAATGGTGCAGCTCCGGCCATCACAGCCATTTGGGGAGTGAACCAGCAGATGGAAGACCTTTCTCTCTGTCTCTCCCTCTCACTGTGTATAACTCTACCTCTCAAATAAATAAATAAAATCTTAAAAAAAAAAAAAAAAAAGCTACTGTGGGTGTTTATCCTGTCAAAAAAAAAAAAAGTAACTGAACCTTAAGTATAAATTGCATTCACCAACAACCAATATCCATTAGACAACTCTAGAAAGAAAGTTAAATGCAGACAGTACACACAGAAAATACCTGCGCTCCGGGAACATTTGCTTCCAAATTTCGCCAATACCGCGTAGACTCTTGAGCGATGGCATCATGTGAGATACCTGGCAAAGGTACAAGCCAGCCTCTCTTTAACTGTGTGCCGTCACCATGTGTGCCCATCCTTGAGCCTGGGAAAACTCCCACCCAGGCAATGACTCTCACGCAGTCTAGCCCATCACCAAGGATGAACTAACACCCCATTCCTCTTTGCCAAAATGGAGTGTTCACAAACACAGAAATCTTTCTGCCTCACAAATACATACCACGTGGATGAACTGGAATCAGCAATTAATTGCATGAAGCCACATCAAAAAAAGGCCACTCTAGAAATCAGCAGGTTTAAGCTCAGGACAAAATACACAGCACAGCACTTCAGGGCGATGGGGAAGCCTAAGCCTCCACATGTCCGTTTCATCAAACTCCAACTCTGACTGGGGAAACACATCTTGGTCATGCACACACCTACCTGTCTCACTCTGCATTATCCACACTTTCAATTCCACAAGACTATGGGCATAAAAACATTCATCTTCCCTTAAACAGCCGTAGCGAACCTCATGTCGACATAAATCAAGCTGACACTGACTATGAAAAGAACGTATCTTCGAGTATTTTACTGTTGTTTCTCGCAAAATGTGGACAAGGCACCTAAAATGAAAACAAAGTGACATCTCAATATTGTTCTGCCATAGCTTTATCTTTTTTTTTTAAAGAAATAGTATTTTCTTTTTAAAGATGTATCTATTTATTTAAAAGGCAGAATTAATGAGACAGGGAAAGGGAGAAAGAGGAAGAGAGAGCTTCCACCCACTGCCTCACCCCCAAAATGGCCACAACGGCCAGGACTGGGCCAGCCCAAAGGCAAGGGCCAGGAGCTTCTTCCAGGTCTCCCATGTGGATGCAGAGGCCCAAGGACTTGGGCCACCCTCCACTGCCTTCCCAGGCATGCTAGCAGGCAGCTGGATCAGAGGCAGAACAGCAGGACTTAATTAGCGCCCACATGGGACGCAGGCCCTGCAGATGGTGGCTTAACCCACTGCACCACAGCGCCTGCCCCTCTGCCATAGCTTTAAAAAAAAATTCTCTCACACACATACATACACACATAGGCATTTCAAAAAGTTGATGGAGGGGCTGGTGCTGTGGCGCAGCGGGTTAAAGCCCTGGCCTGCAGCACAGCATGCCATGTGGGCACCAGTTCTAGTTCTGGCTGCTCCTCTTCCAACCCAGCTCTCTGCTATGGCCTGGGCAAACAGCAGAAGAAGGCCCAAGTCCTTGGGCTCTTGCACCCAAATGGGAGACCCAGAAGAAGCTCCTGGCTCCTGGCTTCAGATCAGTACAGCTTTATCTGTTATGGCCATTTGGGGAGTGAACCAGCAGATGGAAGACCTCTCTCTCTGTCTCTACCTCTCTCTATAACTCTTTCAAATAAATAAAATAGATCTTTAAAAAAAAAAAAAAAAAGTTGATGGAAAGATAGAATTCAAAGATGGTCTGGAGGCAAGCATTTCTAGAGGTTGAGACGCCCATGCCCACATCGGAGCGCCGGGATTCAGCTCCCAGCTGCAGTTCACTACCAGCTGCCTGTGATGCAGACCCTGGGAGGCAGAGGTGATTGCTCAAGTAACTGGGTTTCTGCCACCCACAAGGGAGACCTCACTGAGCTCCTGGCTCTTGGCTTCAGCCCTGGTCAAGTCCTGGCTATTATGGGCATTTGAACGAGTGATAGGAGCTCTCTTTCTCTATTTATATAATAAAAAAACTTTTTAAATTGTTTATCAAGGGCCGACATTGTGGCACATCAGGTTAAGCCAGCATTTACAACATGGACATCCATGTCAGAGCTAGGTCAAGTCCCAGCTACTGCGCTTCAATCCAGCTCCCTGTTAACCTTCCTGGGAAAGCAGCAAGTGATAACCAAGTACTTAGGTCCCCGTCACCCAGGCTGGAGACCCTAGAGAGTTCCTGGCTTCTGGCTTCAGCCTGGCCCTGATGTGGCTGTTGCAGGAACTTGAGGGATGAACCAGCAGACAGGAGATCTCTCTCTCTCCCCTTCTCTGTCACTGTGCCTTTCAAATAAGTAAATAAATACTTAAAACAACTTTTTATTAAAAAGGTTTATTTTATTTATTTGAAAGATAGAATTACAGAGAGAGGTAGAGAGAGACAGAGACAGAGGTCTTCCATCCGCTGGTTCACTCCCTAGATGGCCCCAACAGCTAGAGCTGCACCAATCCTAAGACAGGAGCAAGGAGCTTCTTCCAGGTCTCCCACGAAGGAGCAGGAACCTAAGGACTTGGGCCATCTTCTACTGCTATCCCTGCCATAGCAGAGAGCTGGATCAGAAGTGGAGCAGTTGGGTCTTGAACCTGCGTCCATATGGGATGCTGGCGCTTCAGGCCAGGGGTTTAACCAGCTGTGCCACAGTGCCGGCCCCAGCTTTTTTTTTTTTAAACAACTTTTTTTTTTAAAGGGTAAGTTTATTTGAGGGCAAAAATTGTTTGAACTCCATAGTTTTTTATAATACACATTTTCCATGAACTCTTTGAAGACCCCTCGTATGCATGGATTTCATTTTGTACCAAGCAAACATATCTTTTACTTCCATTTTCCACAGGCTTCTTGAGATGCTCTCAAACAGGGCCAGCGCGGTGGAGCAGCAGGCACTGCTGCCCTCTGCGGCGCTGGCATCCCATATGGGCATCGGTGTGAATCCCAGCCGCTCCACTTCCAATCCAGCTCCCTGCCAATGTGCCTGGGAAAGCAACAGAAGACGGCCCAAGTGCTTGGGCCCCTGCACCCACGTGGAGGTCCAGGAAGACGCTCTAGACTGCTTGCTTCGCCCTGGCACAGCCCCAGCTGCAGCCATCTGGGGAGTGAACCAGCAGATGGAAGCTCTCTCTCTCTCTCTCTCTCTCTCTGTAATTATGCCCTTCAAGTTAATACTAAATAAATCTTTACAAAAAAAAAATAAGAAATCAGCTTAATGGTTCATTATTTAATGCCCCCCAAATCTACTGAAACACATTTTAAAGTAACAACCAACCAAACAACAAAAAGGGGAGGGAAACTGCCCAGGCAGGTGCCACAACATGTTTCATTTGGACCTGAAGAAAAGAGTTTACTGTGTCATTAAAAAAAAAATCCAGAAACTGGCAACTTACTTATTGTCTTCAAACTCATGCTTTGTAACTGGGTGAGAACAGGCAGTAGAATTATCTTTATTTCTTTTACTTATCATTCTAGGTTTATGATCAAAACATTTCTGGAACAGAGAGAAGGATTATTACAAGAAACTTAACACCAAATTTAAATTCTGTACCCAGGATACTACCCTAGTTCTAGTATCCTCACAAAGTCATAAGCATGACATCCTTCTATCACTGAATATTCAACATGTAGCCTTAATAGTGGTTTTTGGGGGCCAGTGCTGTGGCGTAGCGGGTCAAGCCACCACCTGCAGTGCTGGCATCCCATATGGGCGCCAGTTCAAGTCCCAGATGTTCCACTTCTGATCCAGCTCTCTGCTGTGGCCTGGGAAAGCAGTAGAAGATGCCCAAGTCCTTGGACCCCTGCACCCATGTGGGAGACCTGGAAGAAGCTCCTGGCTCCTGGCTTTGGATCAGCGTGGCTCCGGCTGTTGTGGCCAACTAGGGAGTGAACCAACGGATAGAAGACCTCTCTTTCTTTCTGTTTCCCCTTCTCTTTCTGTGTAACTCTGACTTTCAAATGAAATAAATAAAACCTTAAAAAACTAAACATAGTGGTCTTTGGAGAACCACAGGGGCTGGCATTCACTAAGACGCTGGCCCTGTATGAGCACTTGGCAGGACCCCTGCTGCGTGTTCGGCACTACTGGGCTAGCAAGTCAAGAACTATCATGAGTTTTATAGCAAAAAAAAAAAAGGGGGGGGGGAGCAGGGGGTGTCTCAGAGCACCTCACAAAGGAACATAAACTCTCCGAGATGCTCCTGGAGAAGCTTGAACACGGTCAGGCTGATCTTTCCATTGCCACCGAAGAAAGCCTCGCGACTGAAGGCCCCCTTGCGCTCCAGCGTCCACACATCTATCTCTTCCTGGCAGTAGGCGAAAGTGCAGTGGCCAGAGTACCGACACTCCTCCTCAGCAGCAACGTCTGCACACAGCGGAGAGAAAGCCAGTGAGCACTCAGCACGCAGACGGCGTCCTGCGACAGCGTCAGGCAACACACACTCCTGCCCCTGCTCAGCATGGATTACTTTTTCAAGACCAAATCCCTTTTATTTTGCCACAGTGGTAAAGAGACCACTTGGAATAGCCGCATCCCAGTATCGAAGTGCCTGGGTTCAAACCCCAGCTCTGCTGCTGATTCTAACTGCGCCCTGCAAAGCGGCAGGTGACGGCTCAAGTGCTTGGGTCCTTGCCACCAAGGTGGGAGACCTGGACTGAGTTCCAGGTTCCTGGCTCAGGCTGGCCCCACCTTGGCTGTTACAGGCATTTGGAGCATAACCAACAGTCTGTCTCTTTCTTCCTTTCAAACAAATAAAAACAGACAACTTTTTAAAAAGCTCTGATACTCTCATGTACTCCATTTAAGTTTTTTAAAATTCATTCAGAGACACTCAAAGTTCATTCAGATGAAGGTGTCTGCCAAAAATGAAAATACCAAGTTCTCCCAAAAGCATATTAAATACAGCAACATTCTCGAAGCTTAGCTCCGTGTACAGATTCAGTTTAGACTAAGTCAGACACATCAAAGCCTGAGCCAGTTTTCAGATTAAAATCTTGTTAGCTCAGGGGCCAGCATTGTGGCATAATAGGTTAAGCTTCCATCTGCAATACTGGCATCCTATCTGGGCCCCAGGTCAAGACCCAGATGCTCCCCTTTCAATCCAGCTCCCTGCTAATGTGCCTGGGAAAGCACTGGAAGATGGCCCAAGTCCAGGCTCTGGCCTGGCCAGCCCCAGCCACTGCAGCTGGTTGGGAGTGAACCAGTGGATTCAAGATCTTGCTCTGTCTCTTCTCTCTCTGTAACTCTGCCTTCCAGGGGAAAAAAAAAAAAAAACCTAGTTAGTGGCTTGGGACACCAGCATACCATTTCAGTGCCAGTTCAAGTTCCAGATATCTGATTCCAATCCAGCTCGCTGCTAATGCACCTAGAAAAGCAGCAGACGGTCCAAGTGCTTGAGCACCTGCCACCCACGTGTGTGACCAGCTTGGAGTTTCAGTTTCCTGGCTTTGGACTGGCTAAGCTCCAGCTGTTGTGGGCATTTGGGGAGTAAACCAGCACATCTCTCTTACTCTCTGTTCATCATTTTGCCTTTCAAATAAGTAAATAAATACATAAATCTTAAAAAATAGCCTTTATTTCCATAAACTACAAAATATACACACCATGGTAAAAACACAAGTAACAAATAATATTTTTATTTATTTATTCTATTTTATTTTTTTGACAGGCAGAGTTAGATAGTGAGAGAGAGAGACAGAGAGAAAGGTCTTCCTTCCATTGGTTCATCCCCCAAATGGCCGCCACGGCCAGAAGCCAGGAGCCAGGTGCTTCCTCCTGGTCTTCCACATGGGTGCAGGGCCCAAGCACTTGGGCCATCCTCCACTGCACTCCCGGGCCACAGCAGAGAGCTGAACTGGAAGAGGAGCAACCAGGACAAAATCCGGCGCCTCTACCGGGACTAGAACCCAGGGTGCCGGCGCCGCAGGCGGAGGATTAGCCTAGTGAGCTGCAGTGCCGGCCAAGTAACAAATATTATTAAAACAACTGAGGTGTCAGACGAAAGAGCCTGCTACTGACTCTGTGTAAACATGTCCAGTAACAGTCAGTACTGCACCAGCTGCTGCATCATTATGCAATGTACACCAACACAAGCAATCACGGCACAGACCTTTACATATGTAATATGGTCCTTCATAATTTGTTTTAGTTGGTCTTGGGCGTATTTTTTTCCATGATTTATCTTCCACATTCTTTATCCTACCAATTAAAACGTCTTTCTTACACTTATGATCGATATTAGCATGGTAAGTGAAATCCATTAACTTAGGGCCTGAAACAGACACAAAGAGGACCGTTCACGTGCATCAGACAAGCATTTCATCGTGCAGACACATTTCTAAGACGTGCGCAGATAAACATCTATTACTAAAAACACAGTAACCACAAGAATCTCATTTTCACAACCCCAACGCATCAGCAGGCCATGAAGGTTTTGTCTTTTATGCTGTTTGTCAGATGATAACACCAGTCTATCAACACCAGTCCTGCCAAGACACATCCTTACTTAACCATTAGGGAAATAATTTGGATAGGAGTCCCAAGGGCTTCCACCAGCAAAGAACACTGTTAAACACAAATCTAAAAAAGAAAATGAAGTTGAGTTCACAGCACAAAAATATGTGTGGATCTCATTTTTTAGGGGTAAAGCTACAAAATAAACCAACAGAAAGTACTTTAGTTTTCAGAAACACTCTCTGAGAATTCTCACATTCTTTAACGTATACTTGCAACATAAAGAATTTCATAAAATTTTCAACTTTCAAGCTTCTAAGTCAGGTAAGTGTCCAACTGCACACAGGTCTATGAATGAAATTGTATCACACAAGGGGAGAGACAAAGATCCCAAGTGAGAAACCGCTGCTTCCTTCGGAAGAATCAGAGCAGGGACTGCGGAGCCACTGCAGCTGCTAGTTTTCAGAGGCGCCTGAAACACCCCGGCGATGGACTGGCTTACTGCCCCTACTCGCTTGTCTGGTCCTCACCTGATTTTACAAAACAGATCTGGCAAGCTTGTCTCAAGTCATGGGTTCCTTCCAGGGGATGTCTCGGAGTCACTGATGACGATGGCTTAGTGACTGCACTTGCGAAAATGTTTCCAAAGTCATTTCTAGGCTGACTTGAGATTCCCAGGAAACTCTCAGAAGCAAATAAACTACCTGGTCCATTCATCTGCAAGAAGAATGAGAAATAAAAACAAAAAACAGGCAACGAACATTGTATCGTCACGGAAGACAGGAATGGGATTCACGTGAAGAACAAGACATGCTTCCCTGAGGTCAGCAGCACGCCCTCTTGGGCACCCTGCCACACTGACACTGTCCTGTCTACACTGTCCTCTCCGTGGTTGCCAGGCCCCCCCGGGTTGTTCAACACAACAGGTAACCGTGACCATGCTCCCAGGACACTCACACCTTCCACGCCCTCTTTTCTTCCAGGTATCTGTGCCCTGCGCTCCAGCCTCTTAAGCTGTCTGCAGGGGGACTCGTGTGCTAAGACAGATCCAGTCTTAAACACAGAGCACTTTCTACTGGATGTTCCAGGCTGGTCTTTTAACACTAGTTCCCACGGCACACACAGAATTCAAGGGAGACCATCATGCTCAATCAAGCAACTGTTACTAAAGTCAAAGACCTAGCTTCCATTTAAGCGATGTATTCACAAAAGAGGAAGTGGCACTTACAAGTAAAAGGGAAGAATTACTGTTGTTAAGCGTTGTTCCCTCTCTAGAAGTTGAGGTGGACAGATCTAAAATAATAAAAAAACTTCAACAGACCTTTTCACTCTAATCACGCAATAAGAACATCAGGGCTCGGAGCTCACTGGCTATGGCTCCCCACGTCCTCTCCCTCCCAGGTCCTGGATGCTTGCTTGCTCACTACTGACACTCAGCAGGGCTCTGCAGGATTTCTTTCCTCTACAAATAACCCTTAGTCAAGCAAATTGAAATCAAAAGCTATTTTCAGAGAAGTAAGCTAAGGCAAGGCTTGCCAAGTAGGACTGTTCAAAAGACTACGTAAATTATTCACGTTCAGACTGAGAAGAGAGCAGCTCCTTTAAAAAATATAAAACAGGAACTCATCATAACACCAAAAAAGTCATCAACTTCACATCCTTTCTCCTTCTTAGGCTACCAACGACTTCCTCCTTCCCTTTCTGTCTCCCACATACTTTACTCTCTTCAACTGAAAATCTCTAACTCAACTGTTCAGATTTTTGTTCTTTTAACCATTTCACAGTGACTCAGAAAAAATATGAAGATATTTCTAATTGTTTAAAATATATATACATATATATGTGTGTGTGTGTGTGTGTATATATATATATATATATGTATAATCCAGGAGTATAGAAACAGGAATCAGACCCAAAACTCAGCAATCCCCTGCAAAATTACCGCACCGGCCACCATCTGCTGAGCTCCATGGATGAAGCACCCAACAGAGCCAACTCTTAGCACTTTGAACACAGACCTTAAGTCAGTAACTGCCTAGTTCATGATCTCAAAGGACAACCGTCTCCAAGACTGATGAAGATGGGACAGACCTTCACTGAACAATGCATTAAAAGTCCCTTTGCACCCCAAAGTACCCCCCATAAACCCACAAACATTGTTATCTCACATCTCTGCCCCCTGATAGCCAGAACGGCAGTCAAGTCAAGGGGAATTCAAAATGAAGGCCCCGTCTTATATTTTAGCTACAGTGATAATAATTCAAGTACCTATGATCTATACTTCACTAAATCACTGCCCGACACAATTTCCATGTTTAGAAAATGAGCTACAATCATTTATAATTTAGGTTGGATTCTTACCTCTTTTGGATTCACTCACTGAAAATGAATTTAAAGAAGAACAGAAATCTTCCAGGGATGAGGTCAAAGGCGGATACAGTTCTGAAAAGGAGAGTGGAGGAGCGTACCTCGCCCCGATGGGTAAGGTTCCTAACAGAGACGGCGAAAAGGGCAAGCTAGGGGTGACGCTGGCTGTCGGAAGGGGTCCTCGCACTAAAGCTGGAGGCTGGAGAAGAGAAGAGATCTGGTCACAATTCATGAAACTCTGTCACAAATTTGGCTCAACTACACTTCAAACACTCCCATTTAAAAATAAATCATTACAACGGATGATCACATTACATAACAAAGTTTAACATCAAGATGCATTACAAGAATTTTAGCTACAAAATCTGTTTTCTTTCCAGCCCAGTTTTTTAAAGGTTTGAAATGCAATCTCTAACACTCTTTTAATCCAAATGTTACCCTTGTATCTCATCAGCCAAAACGCCTTTGTGATTCCTAACCCTTCCCCAACTAGAATGCTCATAAAAACTGATTTTCCTTTTTTTCCTTTTTTTTCCCTATTAAGCTTTGTGATAATGGGTCTCAAAATTCTGTGACAGATTTGCGGTCAAGTTGTTTCCATTAAAAACTAGTAACTTAAAACTGCATGCAAACACAAGAAACAAATGGTCCACAAAGATTCTCCTTTCCTTCTGATGTTGCACTATTATCATTAGCCAGGCTTCTACTATCAAACGTAAATGGCCAATTGAGAAAACGAGTGATGAGACCGTTCTTCCACCACTGACTTAGACTGGGGTGGCAGCTAACAGGGTAACATTCATTTAGCCGTCTGAGCTAAGAATCTGCTTTCTTCAAGAGGAACTGCAGGACTGAGGGGAGGGGGACAGGGCTGGAGAAGCTCATGAGCTCTCTGCAGGCGTGACTCACAAGCTCCAGCTCTGCCTTGGCGAGTGCTTCCACGCTGTCACTGCTGACATGCGTCCCACGAGCTCCATCCATCCTTACACCTCTCAGACACACCCTACTGTGAGGCCACTGCACGGGCGGGGAAGCAGAGGGACTGAGAGCCCACACAGACCCCCACTGTCAGCCAGTGCTAGCTCTCGGCCAGCGAGGGAGGCACTGATCTCGCCGACTTCACCTGCCCTGGAAATGGCTCTGCATTTCTCCCCCCATCGCCAACCTGAGACTGCTGCTGCTCCTATCTTGATTCGACATATGGCAGGAGTCAGAAAACTCCGGAAAAACAACTCACCGCCGCCCTCAGAAGAAAGGAGGGACGCTGACACTCACCATCACGCTCTCACTGGCTTCAGGGGCAGAATCGAGGAGGTCATCGATTTCGTCTCCAAGGATCATGTCTGCATCATCTAAAAACATGTCCTGCGCAGCGAAGGGCGCCTGCCCCCCGTTGGCCAGCACTGCGGAGGGCAGGGCACTCTCTTCCACTTGCAGCGGCAAAAGAGAAGCTAGGGGCGTCACAGCAACCGAGGCCAGCTCACTTCCAACGTCATGAGGAAAACTGGACGCCGGTAAAGAGACGGCAGCGACGGCCTCGTGCCTCGGAGGTACCAAATCTGTAACACAGATGCAAAGGCACTCACTCTCCGCCCTGTGCTTACAGGACACCAGCGGCTGACAGTCAGTAACAGAGACAACCACGGGCCGGAAAGCAACCATGGACGCAATCACACTCTTGGCATCAGTGACCACAGTGACCTCACTTGGCAACTGCATTTTGTGTCTAAAGTATCAAACTGGGGACAGTGTTCTGGGAAAACATACCTGCTTCAATATCTTCCACAGAATAATTCAAAGCCTAGAAATTAAACCAAAGAATAGATCATACTATTTTCAGGATTCTAAATATATAAAGCATATACATGTATCAAACCACTCCATCGTACCCAATCAATATAAGCTATTACCATGTATCTGTTAAGTGTATTTTAAATAAAAATTAACTATAAAGCAATCCATAAAACTTACCCTAAGAGAACAATGCAGGTTTGCACAAAAGTAAGACTCTCATCCAACTAAGGTCCAAGAAACAAAAGGACTGTGCAGACTTGCATGACACGAGGTACTAGTCCAGCAGGCCCACTGCTGAGTCCCTGGGGGACAGCTCTCCCCAGAGGGCAGCCAGCAAAACACCTGGGAGGGCACCCTGTCAGTCACCCTGCAACTCACAGTGGCCGCTAGCATCCAAAACATCCAAAACGCCCCAAGAAAGCTAACCTTAAAAAAAAATATTGTTAATTGTTTAGCCCAATGTCTCCCAAGGCTAGTATTTAGTCCTGAACCACTTTTTTTTGTTTTTAACATTTCTTTCTTATTCTATTTATTTGAAAGGCAGAGTGACAAAAAGAGTCAGAGAGAGAAGAGGCGGAGGGAGGGGGAAGAGGAAGACAGAGAGAGAGATATCAATCTTCTAAGCTTGATTCACTCCCCCGGATAGCCACAACAGCCAGGGCTGGGCCAAGATCAAAGAACTAGCCAGGAACTCCATCTGGGTCTCCCACGTGGGTGTCAGGAACTCAAGCATTTGAGTCATCACCCTCTTTTTTCCCAGATAAACTGGCAGAGAGCTGGATCAGAAGCAGAGTAGCTGGGACTCAAATTAGCGCGCCAATATGCGATATACACGTGCCAAGCTGTAACTTAACCCGTCGCACCACAGTGCCTATCCCCAAACCACACCTTTCCTAATAAAGCCTCACATCTCTCGCCATCACGTAAAACGTTCCAGGGGACTTCAGGAAGTAAGAATAAAACATATTACTGTACTTGTGTTGTTTTATTCAAGAGGCAGAGAGACAGACAGACACAGAGAAAAGAGACAGATGGAGAGCTCCCATCTGCTAACTCCCCAAACGCCCAAAAAGGCCAAGGGGCTGAAGCCAGGAGCCAGGAACTCAATCCAGGTTTCCCAAATGACTGACCCACACCCAGCGACCTGAGCCATCACCACTGCCTCCCATGGTGCACATCAGTGGGAAACTGGAATGAGCACAGAGCCAAGACTGAAAACCAAGCACTGCAATATAGGACGCGGGTATTCAAAGCAGCGTCCCAGCCGCTAGGCCAAAAGCCACCTCTGTTCAATTTGGGAACTTATTTTTCATTTTATTTGAAAGGCAGAGAGACAGACAGGCAGAGATCTTCTAGTGGCTGGCTCACTTCCCAAGGGCTCTCAACAGCCAAGGCTGGGCCAGGCTGCAGCCAGGAGTCTGGAACTCCAATCAGGCCTCAGATGTGGGTGGCAGGGACTCAAATATTTGAGCCACCATCTGTTGCCTCCCAAAATGTCCACTGGCAGGAAGGAGCAGCAGAAGCAAAGTAGCCAGGACTCAAACCAGACACTCCTGAGGGAGGAGGGTGTTCCCAGCAGTGACTGATGGCAGTGCACCACACACCCACCCACTTTCTTTTATGAAGTGTTAGGAAGTTATCACTAATTATGTGTCTGAGGAATAAAAGTGTCTCAAAAAATATAAGGATCTTCAGGAATTTTATACATATCTGTCTTATATTTTTATAAAATTATAAATATATAAAATATTTTATTTTTTATATTTTCTATAGAAAATGTATATTATGAAAAAATTTCAAAATTTCTGCATCAATATAAACTTATCTTTTAATTCCACTTTTCCATGAATTTTTTTTAAGATTTATTTTATTTATTTGAATTACAGTGAGAGGTAGAGCCAGAGAGAGAGAGGTCTTCCATCCACTGGTTCACTCCCCTAAATGGCTACAATGGGCAGAGCTGAGCTGATCTGAAGCCAGGAGCTTCTTCTGGGTCTCCCAGGCAGGTGCAGGGGCCCAAGAAGTTGGGCCATCTTCTACTGCTTTCCCAAACCATAGCAGAGAGCTAGATTGGAAGTAGAGCAGCCGGGACATGAACCAGCACCCATATGGGATGTCAGCACTACAGGCCAGAGCTTTAACCAGCTGTGCCGCAGCCCTGGCCCCCCAGGAAGTTTTAGAGTCCCCTCATAGATACCCACCACAATCATTAAAGGCAGAAATGCTGGGGCTGGCATTGTGGCACAGTGGATTAAGTCAGTGCTTACAATGCTGGCATTCCATATCTAAGTGCCAGCTGAAGTCCCAGCTACTTGGCTTCTAATCCAGTTCCCTGCTAATGTCCGTGGGAAGGAAGAAAAATATGGCCCAAGACCCTGGCTCCTCGCTTTGGCCTGGTTCAGCCCTGGCTGTAGGTCATTTGGGGAATAAACCAGTGGATTGAGGATTCCTCACTGTCTCTTCCTCTCTGTCATTCTTCCTTTCAAATAAATAAATAAATCTTAAAAAAAGAAAAAAAAACTGCTGATGAATTCATCCTTTCTTTTAATTAAGATTTTTAAAGAAATAACAACTTTACCTTGGTAGTCCCATCCCCAGGACCCGATTTTAATGAGACCTGGAAAAAAGCAGACACAGATGTAGAAACAGAACTGACTCCAAGTTACAAAACGAAGCAAAACCATCTACGGCAAGAAACCCCGCTTACCTCAGCTCTAACATATGCTTTTCTTATTTTAAATCCCAATTTCTGAGCCAGCTCCTGAGTTAGTTTTATTACATGTTCATCCTGAAGAGAGGTGTACAGTTGATTACCAGTGAGTTCTATGTACAGCAACCAAATGTGACACTGCCGTAAACACACCTGCTACATCAGCACTTACACGGGCCACTGAGGGCTGCGTGGAAAGCGTCACTCTCTAAGTGTGGTTTTTCCACACAGGGCAATAAACGGCTATGCTGTAAAGAAAACTACAACATAAATCCCATACCTGTGGCACCGCAAGGGAGCACTTTGCTACAGCATCGTAGGCTTCTTTGTATCGTCCCAAATCACTCAAAGCCTTCGATTTCCGATACAGAGCTTTGCAGTTACTGGCATTTAAACTGAGGACTGCATCACAGTCTTCTAACACTTGATCATGGAAACCCTGGTGTAGAAGACCAGAGAGTAAGTCACAAACAGCTCATTTCCTACACTGATGCCCTCCTAAAAACGAAACCACATTCAGACCCCATTCTATGACCCTCTTAAAACTCAACGTCCTAGTATCTTCTTCGCTTTCATTACAAAGTTTCAATACACAAAAATGCAAAGAATATCATCAATACCCACACACTCGTGACTCAGACCAGACACATGTTAGTATCCAGCCAAAAGGCCTCCGATCAAGACAGAAAGCTTTCTCCCCCGAGTTCACCCCAGGGGTCCGTGCCCCATCCTAGTCCCCTCCCCACTTCATTTACCCTTTACTGGAGTACATTAAAATGTCAAATGGAAATGGAACTGCCAAACACTACCAGAAATTAGAAGTCATCAGTGAATGTATATTAAGAAAGATCTAGGTGACAACATGGACACTTTTCTTAAAATCATGAGTAAGTTTTGTCATATGTCCACAGTGAAAATTATAAGCACATAAAAATACTGTTTTCAAGCTCAGAAATGTGAATAGCTTGTGTCAATTCCTTTGAAGGCTAATTATGGTTTTGTGCTGAGCGCTCGAGAGGCTAAGTAAATCTCGACCGGAAGCACACCGTCAACACGGACACCTGAAGAGGCGCTGGTCACACACTGCCCCTGCCAGGCTGGCTCCCATCAACAGGCACAACCCCAAATACTCAACAAGACTCCTTAAAGACGATAACAGACTCTTTTTTAAATCCCTAAACATTTGTCAGAGCCGATTTTTGAAAGTCTTAGGCCACGTGCAAAGAAGCTAATGTGCCTTTCTTAAAGAATGAAATTAGAAAACTGACTTTTTATCAATGTGCTGTCACCGAAAAAAAACTTTCTGTCTAGGAATACTGTTTAAAAAAATGACAACTCACCATATTAGAATAGCAGGCAATACGGTTTATATGCAGTTTTTCAATGATTTCCTTAGGGATTAAAATTTCTTCAGACTTTGCATAATTAGCTATATTCAAAGCTTCTGTGTACTGGCTTATTGAGCTTTTCCAATCACGCTCCCGATACACATCATTTCCTTCATTAAAAAGATTTCTCACCAGAGCACGCAGATATACCTAAAAATGAAAGTTACCACTTGAAACCCTTCACAAAGATAAAAGGCAAGCAAAAACAGTGACAGCCACACAGACAGAAAGCTAGAGTTCCTACCCACTGGTCACTCCCCAAATGCGTGCAATAGCTAGGCCTGGGCCAGGCCAAATTCAAGAGCCAGGAACTCAATTCAGGTCTCCCTGTGAGTGGCAAGAAGCCACTGAGCCATCACCTGCTGCCCCCCAGGGTGCGCATTAGCAGGAAGCTGGCATCAGGAGCGGAGCCAGAACTGGAACCCAGGCTCTCCAATAGGAGACGTGAGACACAGAGCTGTGGCCTAACCGCTAGGCCAAACGCCTGCCCAGTAGATTTTCATTTCTACATCTAAAATTGCAGAAGAAACAACTGGACAGAACACGGCACTGCTGTCTCACTTAGGGACTCTATCTGGCTTAATCTTTTTTTTTTTTTCCAAATAGATTTCATGTGTTTACTTGAAAGTCAGAGTTATAGAGAGGCAGAGGCAGAGAGAGGTCTTCCATTCGCTGGATCATTTCCCAGATGGCCACAATGGCCGGAACTGTGCCGATCTGTGCCGGTTCTGTCCCGGTTGCTCCTCTTCCAGTCCAGCTCTGTGCTGTGGCCCGGGAAGGCAGTGGAGGATGGCCCAAGTCCTTGGGCCCTGCACCCGCATGGGAGACCAGGAGGAAGCACCTGGCTCCTGGCTTTGGATCAGTGCGATGTGAACCAATGGCAAAGACCTTTCTGTCTGTCTGTCTCTCTCTCTCACTGTCCACTCTGTCAAAAAAAAAAAAAAAGTCCTCTCCCCAACATAAGATCAGAGTCAACTCTTTTTTGTCTCATTTTATGAATTCACCTTCATAAATATTTCTGTTTACAAAATTATTGAAGAAAACCAAATAGACCAATAATAACTATTGATCTAACTTATGCAACTTAACCTAAGCCCCACGTGGAAAAGGGAAAAAAGAAATGTTCCAGGTGGTTCCTAGCAGCCACACATGGAAAAGGGAAAAAACGTTCCAGGTGGTGTCTAGACTAACAATCACACAATACTTCATGATTCTAAATCTGGAGAAAAGGATGAGAGAGACCGCAAGGGGAAGGAAGGAGAGAGGCAGAGAGAGCGGCGCTCAGAAGCAGCAAATCCCTCAGAAGCAAAAAGCTTGGCAAGGCAGGGCCCATGCCCGGGCTGTGTCCCTGTGTCTGGCGAACGTGTTTTTCACCAGCTCTTCCCTCTGCTTTCCCGGGCCCCCGTGACTGCTGCCACCACCGCTGCCCGCCCCGTACAAATGCAGGGTATGCCCCGCAGCCCTTCACCATCAATTCTGTGCCACTTATCACCCACAAAACGAGGGGTAGCTCCCACACACAAGGGCCTGGCAAACTCTTCCTGGGAATGGCCAGTCAGCACTGGGGCTTCTCCAGGCCACGTGGCCTCGGTCGCAGAAGCAGCCGTGGATGACGAGTGTGGTTCTGCTCCAGTAACACTCCATCTGCAGAACAGCCACAGCCAGGTCTGGCCCCGGCCCGGCCCGGCCCGGCCACAGCTGGCAAAGCCACCTGCACGCTTTCAGTCAGACCTTCCCACCCAGAGTGCTCACCGCATACTGTTCCTGCGTTCCCGGGTACGACAGCGGCGACCTAGAGAACAGACACCCTGTGGTTAGCGCTCTGCTACCGGGACTGGCCGGACCAGAAGTCATCTTCAACCGGCAGTTCTTCTGCTGGTTCAAAGCACACCTTAAAGACTTTATTTCTTGACAACATTTCTACATGACTGCAGGCGGGAAGAAGAATCCACACTATCCCTTTGTATTTTCTTAAGTATAACACTTTCCTTCCAAATCCAGTTCTATTAAAAGAAGGCCTAATTCTTCAAATGCCAAAAAGGTTTAAAAATAGTCCTGAACCGCAGACTACCTGACCCAGTTTACTGCCGTCTGCACGGAGAGGTCTCCCCCACAGGAAGCAGCGGAGGCCCGAGCACAGACAGGCCCAGCCGACCCAGCATGGTCCCGGATACACCTCGACAAGTCCAGCTACAGCCCACACCCCAGTGGGACCACATGACCCCAGAGATCCTCTGTGCCAACGGACGTCCACATCCGTCACTTTTAATCCAGCAGGCCTGTTCTTACGAGTGAACAAATCCAAAAGCCTCAGACCGACATTCTGGGGCAGCCTACAGGTCTTGAGTCCTAAAAGCCAGCAACAGGAAGACCCACCTTAACACAGAGTGCTCAAATTGACAAGGGAGAGACTACTGCTGGCACAGACATATGTAATTTCTAACTCCAGAGGTGTTTTTTTTTTTTTTAACATTTATTTTATTTATTTGAAAGAGTTAAAGAAAGAGGTAGAGACACAGAGATTGGGGTCTTCCACTCACTGGCTGACTCCTCAAATGGCCCCAACAGTGGTGCCAGGGCCCAAGAACTTGGGCCATCCTCCCCTGCTTTCCCAGACACATCAGCAGGGAGCTGGATTGGAAGTGGGGCAGCCAGGACTTGAACCAGGACCCATATGGGATACTGGTGCTGCCGGCGGGGGCTTTAACACACTGAGCCACACCCCCGGTCCCCCCACGAGTTTTTCATCTGTACACAATGTACAGCCACATTTAAAACGAATTCCTCTGGGACGAGAAGAGAAGGGGTGAATTCCGAAGCTCTTACTGTATGAACTGCAGGCCTTCCTTAATGTTTTGCTGCCTTTTTCGTCTCTCCTCGGACACACTGGACATGTTATCCCACACATCCGCTTTCTACAAGAGCAATCTGGAAAGAAACAAGACACAACATTACTTAAAGTAGCAGGCTCCTGGACACTGAAAAACACCGGTGATCTGAAGCCACACCACACCGCTATAGACACACGTCCATCTCTAAGCAGGGTCCAGGGGTCCGGCCACCAGGCATCTTCTCATAAAGTCTGGAGTCTCCTGTGCTGTACATTTATGGCCTTCACAGCCTGTAGCTTCAACAGCTTTGCAGATTTTCTGTCGTTCCTGAACAGGGCCTTCTCTCCCCGTCCTTCTTCTGCCCTCAGCCACGGGTTCTGTTCCCAGGCTGGCCACGCAGAAGCTGCCCCCAGAACAGGCCCAGCCTTGTTTTGCTTCCGGAAGCTCCCAGGAATGAAAACACTTGCACCTCTGCTCGCCTGCGAGGAAGTCCAACTTCCCCGTAAGCAGAGTCTACATCTTACGCATGTTTTGTCGCACAAACTTCCAAAATAATCCTCTCCAGTCCAACTGCTAGAATACTGATGCCAACACAAAGACGGCAAGTGCAATTTTCCAGCTGGTAAGGGTTTACCTCCAGCTCAACACTGGTAAATGTCCACACACATCGAGGCTGTTGGCGTCCACTCCCTCCGACCAGTGTTCCCTGAGCAGTTCCCAGCAAGCACGGTAAAGAGGAAAGAGCTGTGACAAATCACCTCCCAGTGTCCTAAGCCAGGGTCTCTACCAGAGCCCTGGGCCAGGTCACGTCCTGCGGGGCTGTCCTATGCACTGCAGGATGTTAACAGTATCATTGGGAAAACCAAAAACGCCCTTCAGGTGTGGTGGTGGGAGGGTGGGGGGCGGGGGTGCACAATGCCCCTGAGCGCAGGGTGACTGAGACATGAAACTCATAGCCCTCTTCTCGCCTGAGTCACACATTTGGGCCTGGTGACACAAAGGGGAGTCCTACACGCCACAAACGCACAGCTCAAGTTTTTTACTTTCATTATTGCTTACCATTTGCAGCTGTATGTATTTATTTACTTGTTTATTTAGAGAAGCAGAATAACGACAGAGAGGGGAAGAGAGAGAGAAAACTTCCATGTGCTGGTTTGCTCCCCAAACACCCTCAAAATGGCACCAAGTGGGGGTCAAGGCCAGGAACTAGGAAACTCAATCCGGGTCTCTCCACATGGTGGCAGGGACCAATCACCTCACAGAATCTGCACTTGCAGGAAGCAGGCATCAGGAGACAGGACCAGGCACTGGACCAGGTACTCTGATAGAGCACAGGGCATTACTTAACAGGGCATCTCTAAGCCACTCACTCCTGCAGTTTTATATTTGAATCTACCAGTTTTTATTTTTATATTTAAATCTTTTTCAAAGTACAGGGGTGGGGTAGAGATTGAATTGCCCCACAGGTCGCTAACCAGTCCTAAAGTTTTCTTTTAAATATTACGAATTTTTTTTTCAAAATATTTATTTATTTATTTATTTGAAAGGCAGAGGTACAGAGAGAAAGGGGGGTGGGGGTGGGGGTGGATCTTTCATCCACTGGTTCACTCCCCAAATGGCCGTAACAGCTGGAGCTGGGCCGAAAGTAAGCCAGGAGCTTCTTCCAGGTCTCCCCCGCGGGTGTGACAGAGAAAGATGACTGAAGTTACCTAACTTGCTGTCTAGCAAAGAGGAAGCAACTGAATAAACTGTGCCAGAATGAAAAACAGCAGATATAACAGCGGCCATAACAGGAGCCTGGTTTTTTTTTGTTTTGTTTGTTTTCTGGTAAGTGGGGAGCAGGTGCATGTATTTGCATATTCGTGGGAATATACATGAATCAACTCCAGATGGTAGCAGGGAAACTATAGCAGTAAAAACCTGGGGGCCAGCCGGCGCCGTGGCTTAATAGGCTAATCCTCCACCTTGCGGCGCTGGCACACCGGGTTCTAGTCCCGGTCGGGGCGCTGGATTCTGTCCCGGTTGCCCCTCTTCCAGGCCAGCTCTCTGCTATGGCCAGGGAGTGCAGTGGAGGATGGCCCAGGTGCTTGGGCCCTGCACCCCATGGGAGACCAGGAAAAGCACCTGGATCCTGGCTCCTGCCATCGGATCAGTGCGGTGCGCCGGCTGCAGCGGCGGCCATTGGAGGGTGAACCAACGGCAAAGGAAGACCTTTCTCTCTCTGTCTCTCTCTCACTGTCCACTCTGCCTGTAAAAAAAAAAAAAAAAAAAAAAAAACCTGGGGGCCAGGACAGGCAAGCCAGCGGCTTTTCACAGTGGAGTTTAGAAACTGTTTCTGTGAGCCATGCAAGTGAATACCCTGGGAAAATCACAGCATTCCGAAGTCTCACAGCCTCCGAGCTCTTTCTTGGAAAGCTGACTCCCAGAATCTTCTGGGTTTGCCTCCATTTTATGTAATGAGGGCTGATCTATTTAGAGTGAGAGCTTTCAAGAGCAAGAGCGGCAGCTGGGGTGCCTCTGCAGTTACCCCAAACGGACTAAAGGAAGGCCCAGGCCACCACCAAGCCCAGGCTCTCCAACCAACACCACACCCTTGTCCCAGTTGTGTCGGGAAATCAGCTTGCAGTTCACTCATAAAGTAAGTCCATGGCTAAGCAGGGACTCTAGGGCAGCGATAATCCACCAGGTTAATAGCCTTAGAGCCGATTCAACAAAGTGTTAGAAAACCTTGAACCGCATTCAACCTCTGACAGACAAAGGACGTGTGGAAATGCTGGCAGCTCAAAGAGTGATCCGAAGCAAGTAAGACACCGATGTCTTTAGGGGCAGTAGATATACTCCGCTTTAAAATCTGCCAACATGGGGCTGGCGCTGTTAAAGTGCCGTTAAAGCGGGTTAAAGCCCTGGCCTGAAGCACTGGCATCCCATATGAGTGCCAGTCCCAAATGCTAGCTCCACTTCCGATCCAGCTCTCTGCTATGGCCTGGGAAAGCAGCAGAAGAAGGCCCAAGTCCTTGGGCCCCCGCACCTGCGTAGGAGACCCAGAGGAAGCTCCTGTCTTTGGATCAGCGCAGCTCCAGCCATTGTGGCCAACTGGGGAGTAAACCAGTGGATGAAAGAACTTTCTCTCTGCCTCTCCTTCTCGCTCTGTGTAACTCTTTCAAACAAAAGAAATAAATCTTTAAAACACACACACACACACACACACACACACACACACACACACACACAATGCCTCACTCCAGAAAGTTCCTTCAGCAAATCCCAGGTAACCACTGTGGTATCTGCATACCACAGATTAGTGAAACAGCCTCTGCTCCAACTTTTTTTTTTTTTTTTTTTTTTTTTGACAGGCAGAGAGGATAGTGAGAGAGAGAGAGAGAGAGAGAGAGAGAGAGAGAGAGAGAGAGAAAGGTCTTCCTTTTTGCTGTTGGTTCACCCTCCAATGGCCGCTGTGGCCGGCGCATTGCGCTGATCTGAAGCCAGGATTCAGGTGCTTCTCCTGGTCTCCCATGGGGTGCAGGGCCCAAGCACTTGGGCCATCCTCCACTGCACTCCCGGGCCATAGCAGAGAGCTGGCCTGGAAGAGGGGCAACCGGGACAGAATCCAGCGCCCCGACCAGGACTAGAACTCCATGTGCCAGCGCCGCAAGGTGGAGGATTAGCCTATTGAGCCTCGGCGCCGGCCCTCTGCTTCAACTTTTGAAATGTTTTCTATTTCTTTAAGAGGGGAGAGAAAGAGACGAATACTCTCCCATATGCTGCTTCACTCCCCAAACACCCACAAGACCAAAGCCAGGAGCCAGAAACTCAACCCAAGTCTCCCATGGGTGGCAGGGACCCAGCTACAAAGCCATCACCTGCCGCTCCCAGGAAGTGCATTAGCAGGAAGCTGGACTGGAAATGGAGTCAGGATTAACTCCCGCGCCAGTGTCCACCCCAGCCCTCTCTTCATCAGAGAAAAAGATATTGTATAGATCATCTTACTTACAAGTTCTGTTAAAGCTTGGCCTCAATTTTTTATTTTTTTTTTTAAGATTTATTTAGGCCGGCGCCGCGGCTCACTAGGCTAATCCTCTGCCTGCGGCACCGGCACTCCGGGTTCTAGTCCCGGTTGGGGTGCCGGATTCTGTCCTGGTTGCCCCTCTTCCAGGCCAGCTCTCTGCTGTGGCCTAGGAGTACAGTGGAGGATGGCCCAAGTGCTTGGGCCCTGCACCCCATGGGAGACCAGGAGAAGCACCTGGCTCCTGGCTTCGGATTGGTGCTGTGCACCAGCCGCAGCAGCCACTGGGGGGTGAACCAACAGAAAAAGGAAGACCTTTCTCTCTGTCTCTCTTACTGTCCACTCTGCCTGTCAAAAAAAAAATTTATTTATTTTTATTTGAAAGTCAGAATTACACAGAGAGAGAAGGTAAGGCAGAGAGAGAAAGGTCTTCCATCCACTGGTTCACTCCCCAGTGGCTCAAGGGCCAAAGCTGCACCAATCTGAAGCCAGGAGCGAAGAGCGTGTTCTGGGTCTCCTACGCGGGTGCAGGGGCCCAAGGACTTGGGCCACCTCTACTGCTCTCCCAGGCCATGCTTGGCCTCAATTCTAATGGAGGAACAATTCTTCAAAATTAACTGAGCAGCCACCTCTGTTGAAAAGGTGCCTCGGGGCAAGTGCCGTGGCGCAGCACGTACAGCCACCGCCAGCACCCCATATGGGGCCAATTTGAGTCCCAACTGCTCCACTTCTGATCCACCTTCCTGCTAATGCGCCTGGCAAATCAGCGGAACATGCCCGAGTGATTGGGCTTTAGCTGCCCACATGGAGACCTGGAGGACGCTCCTGGCTCCTGGCTTTGGCTAGGCCCAGCTCCCGCCTTTGCAGCCCTCTGCGGAGTGAACCAACATATGGAAGAGTTTTCTCACAATTCTCTTTCTCTCTCTCTCTCTGTAACTTTGCCCTTCAAATAAATAAATAAGTCTTAAAAAAAAAAAAAAAAAAGGTGCCTTAGCGCTGAAGTGAAAAGGAACTTCTCCATTTCCCTCATGGCAGCCACTCGTTGTTTGCAGTCCCCTGTGTGTTCTGCCAAGACACTCTGAGCAACAACTCTGCAGCCTGACTTTGGTGGTAGTTACAGGAATCCATGCATGGAATAACACTGCACAGAGCTACACCAGTGCACACGCGCACGCACACACCCAGGAGCTGGGGAACACCAGCGGCTGTCGCTTGGATCAACATCTTACACTAACCTCCATTTCCCAGTTGTGATGTGACAGACTACAGTTATCCGTCACCACTGGGGCAAGCAGGGTGAAGGGTTCACGGTACTCCATGTACTACTTTTGCAACTTCCTGTGAGTCTATAATTATCTCAAAATAAAAAGTTAAGTGTTCTGTGCTACATACTTTTCTCGATACACCATGGTAGCCAGCACATTCTGCACCCCGTTTCTCGCACGCCACATCTCATCTGGGAGGTCATTCCACATCCAGACGTGCTAGCTGCTCTACAAGGCACCTGCATCTAAACTGAAATGGACACCTATGTGAAGGACATTGTTATCTGCAATGTTTACAAGTTCACCATCTACACACGGTATTTTGTCTTATTCAAGTATCTCTTTAAAGAACTTTTTTTATTACATTAACTGATTTTTGAATTTTTTTTAAGATTTATTTATTTGAAAGTCAGTTACACACAGAAGGAGAGGTGGAGTCTTCCACCTGCTGGTTCACTTCCCAATTGCCCGCAATAGCTACAGCTGCGCTGATCCAAAGCCAGGAACCAGGAGCTTCTTCCAGGTCTCCCACACGGGTGCAGGGGTCCAAGGACTTGGGCCATCTTCTACTGCTATCCCAGGCCATAGCAGAGAGCTGGATTGGAAGAGGAGCAGCCGGGACTAGAACCAGTGCCCATATGGGATGCCGGCGCTTCAGGCCAGGGCTTTAACCCGCTGCACCACAGCACTGGCCCCACTTTCAAATAAATAAATAAATAAATCTTTAAAAATGAATAACTTCTGTCGGACAAAGGCTTCACACATTTGTTTACTTTGCCAGTTAGTGGCAACATACAGCAAACGACACCACTGAGCTAAAATGCAGCAGACCTAGCATTTCACCACTTCACTGAAGAATGACGAGCCGTGCTCACCACTGTCAACCAGGAGACTGAGTCTGTTTCAGCAGTTAGCACAGCTGAGCATCTTCAGCCTGCACCTTCTTCCCCAACGAGCTGGTCATGCCTTTTGCTCATTTTTCTTACAGGTTGGGCTACTTCTTTGAAAGGCAAGAGACAGACAGAGAGCCCCCATCTGCTGTTGTACTTCCCACTTGTAGGCCAGACAGAAGCCAAGCACTAGGAACTCAATCTGACCCCCTGCTAGGTGGGGACACCTGACTCCCTGCTGCCACCCAGCTGTGCACTGGCAGCGACCTGGAACTGGGGAGTGGAGCTGGGCCTTGCAGCCAGGCCCTCTGATGCAGGATGCAGGAGTCTGCTTTGCCAAATGCTCACCCACAGCTTTTCTCCTCCTCTCCCGTCCCTCTCTCTGTCACTCTGCCTTTCAATTAAAAATGAATAAATCTTTAAAAGAGAAAACACTGAGAGCCATCGCTGTGGTACAGCGGGTTAAGCCACCACCTGCAGTACCAGCATCCCAGATGGGCACCGGTTCACGTCCCAGATGCTCCACTTCCAACCCATCTCCTTGCTACAGCACCTGGGAAAGTAGCAGAGGAGGACCCAAGTCCTTGGGCCCCTGCACCCACATGGGAGACCTGGAAGAAGCTCCTGGCTCCGGATCAGCCCAGCGCCAGCTGTGGCAGCCATCTGGGTGTGAGCGGGCAGATGGCAGATCTGTCCATCTCTCTCTCCAATAAAGAAATTTTGAAAAAAATGTTAAAAATAAAAATTTTCCCATGTTTCCTTCTAGTGCTTACTGTTTATTTAAAATATTTTTAAGTATAATCCATCGTTTCACTGCTAGGAGTAATGTATGGCGATAAATCTTCCTCTCTCCTCCCTCCCAAATAGCTACTCCATTACCAAAGTACCTACTAGAAGCCCCATCTGCCACACACTGATCTGTATAAGGACGCCTTTATCAGGCACTCATGCTGGGTTTTGGCGACTCTTACTCAGCATTTCTGGCTTGCCACAGCCTAATCCTACGCCCTCTTCCCAAACCTAACCAGCAGTCCCATCCTTACTTTGCTAATGAAACCACAGCCCAGCAGCTGCTCATGAGAAAGCTGGAGCTGCCCACTCTTTTTTTAAAAACAGTGATAATGATTACTGTTGTTTTTTTTTTGTTTTTGTTTTTGTTTTTTTTAAGGTTCATTTATTTGAAAAGCAGAGTTACACAGAGAGGGAGAAACAGAGATCTTCCATCCACTGGTTCATTCCCCAAATGGTCACAACAGCCTGTGCTAGGACAGACTGAAGTCAGGGGCCCAGAGCTTCTTCTGGGTCTCTCACATGGGTGCAGGGTCCCAAGTACTTGGGCCATCTCCCACTGCTTTCCCAGGAGCATTAGCAGGGAGCTAGACTGAAAGAGGTAGGAGCAGGCCCAGCCTTCTACACCACTGTGCCAGCCCCACCACTTCTCTGTCTTACACTCCACACCCAGCCAAGCACAGACAAAGCCCACTGATGGTGACACTGTCACAGCACACAGAGGACATCCCAACTCTGCCCACCTCTTACGATCCCTCCGCTCTCCCCCAGTCCAGGCCACACCATCGCTCACCTGGATCAGTCTACAGCCTCCTCTCTAGGAATCTGTTCTCACATCCCTGCTCTCTCCACTGTGCCCTGCCCTCTCCACTTCCAAAGTAAACTAAGAGGGAGGCCCTTACGAAAACACAAGTCAGGGGGCGGCGGTTGTGGAGTAGCAGACGAAGCCACCACTTAGGACGCCAGCATGCCATATGGGAATGCCTTTTTGAGTGTGGGCTGCTCCACTTCCAATCCAACTCCCTGCTAACGTGCCTGGGAAGGTAGTGGAAGATGTTCCAAGTGCTAGGGCCCCTGCACTGCCGCCCATGTCAAAGACCAGTATAGAGTTCCCGGCTCCCGCTTTGACCTGGCCAAGACCTAGCTGTTGTGGCCATCTGGGGAGTGAATCAGCGCACAGAACATCTTTCTGACTCTCCCTCCATCTCTGTTGACTT